AGTGCATAGGCGGAGGAGAAGGAGATCTGGGTGACGTGATAAGATGGGCTAAGACATGCTTATTAGTTCAGTTTCACATACATTTGGGAACCTGTAGGCGGCAATTGATTCCCGAGCAAAAATATACGCACTCACAGGTTCATTAGGGAGACGATTCATGCTCGATACATAAAATGTAAGTGACACAATAGCCCTTAGAATTAAACCAGTCCAATAGCTGAAGAAGATAAATGCTTTAAAGTGTTTTTTACCGAGCTTTCGAAAGGTCCCCAACACTTTTCCTCTCAGGGAAGCAGAGCATGCCCATCAAAAAGCTGTGAAAATTTTCGTCCAAAAAAAAAGAGTAAAGTTCGGGCAAATAGCTTGATCCGAAACTAACAAGACACGCTTTTGAGTACCTTTTTCCTTCTTTCGTCCCGTCCGAACCCCTCCCCGCTCCCATTGACTAACCAGTTTTCAGAAAAAAATACGTTAATTTTTTTCATAGAACTATACAGTACATACTTTGGAAGCGATATAAACCACTTCCAGAAGCCTTCAAAACAAATAAATCTTCCATTCCTGTCCTTCTTTTTTCACCCTCCAATTCTTCAAGTCACCGAGGACCTTGCCCAAATAGTTCAAGCCATAACGAACCTCATTCTCGTATTATTTACGGGCCCGTTACTGATTGTGGGGACATTTGTTTTGTTCAGACCGTATCGCGAAGCGCTCTTAACACCCAGTCGTTGCCATGAAAAANAAAAAGGTTCGAAGCCATTTGTTATGCTATTCACCTTTTTCGTCTCCTTCTCTCCTTTTCTCAGACTGCATGTCCTACAGAGTATTCTGGTGTTTCTTTGTGAACAACATCCCATTAGAGTTTTCAGTGTCGTGTTGATTTGTTTAGCACATTCCCTGGGGATAGAGGGAAAGAAAGTACATTAATTGATGAACCTCAGCTTCCCACTGAAAAAAAGTTCGAACAACTCTCCTAATAGGCAATAGTAAGTGAGCCCTGGGAACTATTCGATATAGGGTGATTACCGATAATCTTTCATGAGGAAAACTCTCGTTCTGAACAAAATTTTTCATTATAGTTTGAAATTTGGTCCCATTCATCGCATAATTAGTGGGGACCATATGGGTGAACGACTACTAGTGGGTAAACGCGTAAATCTCCCGCATGTAACAACCTCCATTTCGGTCTTCTTGTGACACGTGATGATGCAAATATCACGACATATGTACCTATTCTAATGTGGCCCATTCTTGCTATCCCAAAACTGCTGAGCACGAAAAATACGCGCTGCGACCCTGGGGGATGGTCACCTTGTGTGTCCGAGGACGCGCGCGGCAAGTTGCACGTTCGTGGCGATCTGTACGATTCTGACGCCAATTTTCGGGGCGCAAATTCAAAATAGAGTAGTCGTTAGTCGTTCAAATCGTTACAAACTCCGCCGCGCAATGTGCCGCGCGCACCCTCGGACGCACAAGGTGACACATACCCGCGACCCGGCAATAAGGTCCGTATGGAATTGCGGGATTTATGACCGAATTCTAATGGTCGCACGTAGTCGCGCACGCGACAAGTCCTTAATAGTGGTCGCGCGGCGGCAAACTGCCAGATTGTAATCACGAATCTACGACAGCCCACTGGGTGGTACGAGGGGACCTTAGGTGCGTGCGAGGATGCACGCGGCAAATTGTGCGGCGAAGTTCGTGGCGATTTGAACGAGCTTAGCGCCTATCTTGGGTCCCAAATTCGAAGTAGAGTAGATAAGTATGATTGAATGACTCTACTTAACCACTCTACTTCAAGTTTGTGCCCCAGTAATAGACGCCAGACCCATTCGAATCCCCACGAATTTTGCCGCCCTCATCCACGGACGCACGTACACGTATCCAGCGCACTCCAGTCACCAATCAACACTTGGTAGGGTTGCAGTACCTGTACCGAATTCTTACGACACACGACATACCGTAGTCCACTAGGGAAGAGTTAGTGTAAGGGATCGTATTTCGAATTTTTATGGTCCTAAGAGTAAATCGTGTTCGGGGAAAATTTTCTATTTTCCCCTTCTTTTTTTAAAATCCACACCATTACTTATAGATTACCTGGGTTTACCGAAAATGGTGCAATTAATTAGTAAGTAGGGAAGCTGTTATTCTGAGTACTCCGCGATTGCGTGTATGGTTAAATGCAAAAAATTCCAGCGTCTGGCATGCTAGTTGTACCCTATAGCACTTTGGGTTCACACCGATTCGTGCCGACGACTAGGGATCAGCGCTAAATGAATCGCTCATCTTGTTGATGTACATTGGAAAGAAATGGGGGAGAAAGATGAGATGGAGCGGTAGACGGAGGCGTTGGTGTTCCTTGTTCAGGCGGTACATATATCAAATGCCAAGGCTATCTGAAGTCTCATCCCTTGAGAGTTCATTTGTTGCGGCTAGATTTGGATGGGAAGAAAACAGACTGGCCGACATAGGGATCGGTACCACCCCGTCATCAATATGCCACTCAGGCATATGGGATCCTTCACCAGTAGTCCATATGGGTCTCATTCCAGGGATCTTGGACTTTTTTTTCGGTTCTAGATCCTTGTTATTCCAAGTTATCGGAACCATGTGGTATAAGCATGAATTTCTTTGACTTGCAAACTCTAGGGAAGTTGGGTGACCATGTGAAAGAATTCTGATGTGGGAAGTTATTCCCGAGCTGCGTGCCACGCTCACCCCACCCGCCGCTTGTCATGGAAATTCAGAGTTTGATTGGAGCGCTCAATGTATCGGTCAGAATCGATTTGCGACGCAATTTCAGTGGATGATGACGGCTACTCCCGCGGGAGAGCTATCAAAAGTTTGCTATGCCCGTGGGCGTCCGGGAATCCAGTCTAGGCTCAGCTCTCATGAATATTAGCAACCACTATGTCCGAAGTATGGGCAGAAGTTCAGCCTGCTATATACTGCCTTTTTAACCCACTCTAAAAGACGGACAGTGCTGCATTTTGAAAGAAATAGTTGGTGATTTCTTATCATAAAAAAAAGAATTTTATAAGTCCCGAACGAATCTGGTGACGGAAATAATCTCTCTCACTAGTTAGGAAATTACACCAAAAACCAGAATTTTGCTCCAAAGCAAATTTTCTACGGAAACACTTGCAAACCTTTCTATTTCAATTATGCGAATCAAAAGAAGTTGCACTCCGCTGAGAAGAGAAGCACGGATCAGCGACGGCTTTCCATAAAATCATCGAGTAAGAAGAAAAGGGAAGAAAACGAAGCAGTTGGGAAGCAAGGACAGTAATATCAAAGAGAGAGACAGCGACTGAGTGAAATAGGTTGCCGGTAAGTGGAACGCGGGTGCTGTCAAAGAAACATTCCTTCCTGGGTGTAGACCTACGGAATACTTGATTTCGGGTTCCTCAATTGTGACGATCGCGCCTCTTTTTCTGCCGTCTGCCGCACTGCCGTTTGATCCAGTCTTCATATGCTGTGCTTGCCTGGCCAATGGAACCGCCACCACCCCCTCCCCTCCCCCAGGCTATCTTTCTTTTCTTTCTTTCTAACCTTTTGTTGTCAGGGACGCAGAGAATCACGTAGCCACGAAACCCTAG